AATACATCATGTGAAAGGCAGGACTAGATGAATCCCAAGCCATAGTTAAGATTGCCAGAAGAAATATCAACAACCTCAGATATGCAGATGATAACACTCTGATGGCAGAAAGTGAGGAGGAATTAAAGAACCTCTTAATGAGGGTGAAAGAGGAGAGCGCAGAAAATGGTCTGAAGCTCAACATTAAAAAAAAATATTAAAAAAATGTTGGACATGACTTAATGACTAAACAACAACAACAACCACAGCAGGACAGAGATGCTAGTTAAGGAAAGGATGGAAACGTCATATCAGTTTGATTTGTGAACACCATAATTCATCATAACCTTCCCATTTCTCCATATTTGAACCTGAAATGGATATATTTTTCAAACTTCAGGCCCAGAGTGTTCAGTGCTTCACTATTTAAATACCAAGTTTGAATCCTGTGTATCAACCATGGCTGTGCTGAGTTATTAATCTTAATTTTTGTGAGGCTCATCATCTTTATCTTATATATAGCAATTAAATGAAAACATGTTCTTCTCTGTGCATGGAATAATTATATCTATTGAATTTGCCTATTGTAAGGTAAGGGGCAGGTAGGAATTTTACTTCAGCTTGCTTTTGAATAATTCACCAAAATTCACAGAAAGTCTTTATATTCAGAGGAGACAGAACTTCAGCATGTGTAATGCCGGAGAAAATGAAATTGACATATACTCTATCGCTATATCAGACAACATTTTGATAGTGTATCTACTCTTAGAATGTATACATGCACAATTGCAGATCTGCATCTACTAAGCACTTCCAACTAAACAGACATTTGTTGTGCTTAAGTTATTTAAGTTATTTTTGTTATTAATGTGTTCCAGTGAAATCTATGGGGCTTAAGAATGTTTAAGTCTGACTAGATGCCTATGGCAAATCCAGATCTAATCATAATTGAACTGATTTCACACAAAAAGCTTGATTTTCTGTAAAGACAGATGACATTTCAATACCTATTGGAAAGTGCATTCTTTTCAAAGCAATGCGTTGTATATTGTCTATACACTCATATTGTATTTGTTTTTGTCTTTGATCCAAAAAGCAATGTGTGTGGAAGCATACTTATACAGATGAATCACCTCAACTAGATTGGTAGAAATCAGTGAATTTCATGTTAACTATATTCAGAATTTTCTATGTTAAGTATGAAAGATCATGTTAAAAAAACACATACGATTCTACCATAATTTTGTTTGTCCTGTCCTGTTGTCCATAATCCATGACTCTTCATCTTCTGTTCCAGGCATTCTCCACTATTTGAGCTGTCTAGAAGGTCAAAAATTGAAGTGTCTTCGGAGTCACTACCTAACACACACACATCCAAGTTACACAAACATATTAGGCGATGTTTCGTTCTTAAACTGTGAATGCATACATATTTAACCTTAACATGATTCTATTAATATTCATATCAACTCCTGAATCTATTTTTACATTTCTGGAATAATTAAATTATTAATATACCCTGTTTCCCCTAAAATAAGACCTAACCTGAAAATAAGCCCTAGTATGATTTTTCAGGATGCTCATAATATAAGCCCTACCCCCAAAATAAGCCCTAATTAAGTGAAACCCCACCCTCCACCATTGTGCAGCATGGTGACATGACTGTATTTGAATAAATGTAGATTGTTGTACATGAAAAAAAAACATCCCCTGAAAATAAGCCCTAATATGTTTTTGGAGCAAAAATTAATATAAGACCCTGTCTTATTTTTAGGGAAACAGGGTAGTTATATTGTACAGTCGTGCCCCGCTTAACGATTACCCTGCATTACAATGAATCCGCTTCACAACGAGGTTTTTGCAATCGCAATTGCGATCGCAAAACAGTGGTCTAAATGTTTTTTTTCGCTTTGCGAAGATCGGTTCCCTGCTTCGGGAACCAATTCTTCGCATTACGACGATCAAAACAGCTGATCGTCGGGTTTTCAAAATGGACAACGGGTGCTCAAAATGGCTCCCCGCTGTGCTTAGGGATGGATTCCTCGCTATAAGGCACCGAAAATGGCCGCCGTATGGAGGATCTTCGCTGGACGGTGAGTTTTTAGTCCATTGGAACGCATTAACCGGGTTTTAATGCGTTTCAATGGGTTTTTTAATTTCGCTTTACGACGTTTTCGCTCCTCAGCGATTTCACTGGAATGAATTAACGTCGTTAAGCGAGGCACCACTGTATTAATTTATTTACATATGATACTACAGTTACCAACATAATAATGGCAATCAATTTGATGCTATACCTCGTCATATATACAAGACAAGCCTAATATTTAGGGATAAGAAAAGGGAATTCCAGCTGAATTTGGGATTCCTCGCTCACACATAAATGCCTGCTTTTGAGTGATGTCACAGATTGCAGCATGTTCTTATTCATGAAGCTGTTCTTAAAAACTGGCTTCAGGGTATTATGATTTAAGCCATGTATAAAGATGAATATGAAAAATTATGCATTTTATAAGCATGACAAACATGATTTAGTACTTGCTAGAAATGTTCCTAGGCCTTAAGTTCTTTTGAACATAGGCACTCCATGATGAGAGAAATACACCTTTTACTGAGGTCACTTCCATCTGTTTTGACCATAGAGTTTTCAGGTTTCATCCCTGTAAAGTGAAATAAATCCAGGCATTGAGCTCTGGGTATAAATGAAGTTTTGGATTAATGTTTAGGCCAAGCCCTCTAGTGCAGGTACTAAAGGTGCACCAGAGAAATGGCCTCTCCCTGGATATGCTGATGGATCTCTTTTATAACCTTTACTCACTTAGATCCAGGCCACAGGCACGACATGGCTGTTGTTAGGTATTGTCAAGTCACCTTCAACTTATGACAACCCTGTGAATGAGTGACCTCCCAAATGTCCTATTGCTAACAACAAGTTCAGGCCTTGCAAACCCATCAGTGGTTTCCTTTCTGGACTCAACCCATCTTATATCTGGTCCTCCTCTTCTCCTGTTGCCTTCAACTTTTCCTAGCATTATTGTCTTTTCAAGCAAGCCTTATCTTCTTATGATATGCCCACAATACAATGGCCTCAGTTTCTTCTTGAGATAGTTCACACATAAGTTGATCTAGGATCCTCTTGCTTGTCTTTCTGGCAGTCTGGGGTATTTGCAAAACTCTCCACCGCAATATTTTGAAAAAATCATTTTTCTCTATCACCTTCTTCCTATCTAACTTTCACATCCATACACGGTAACTGGAAATGCAGTAGTATGGATGATCTTAGCCTTGGCTTCCAGTCATTCATCCTTGCCCTTGATGGTCTTTTCTAACTGCTTCATTGCTGCCCTAGTCTCAGTCTTCTTCTGAGCTCTTGGTGTCTGTCTCAATTTGGATTGATAACTGAACCAAGGTATAAAAATATTTCACTATTTCAGTTTCTTCACAGTCCACATTAAAATTGGATAGTTCTTTGGCAGTCTTTATTTTTGTTGTCATAATGTTCAACTGCAGTCCTGCTTTTGTATGTTCTTTAACCTTCCTCGGGAGCACTGCTACCTTCTGCCAGTAATGTATCATCTGCATATTTTAAATTATATTTATTTCTCTAATTTTTACTCCTTCATTTGAATCTAATCCAGCTATCCATGTGATATATTCTGCATACAGACTGAAGATAAAATACACCCTTATCTGACAACTTTGCCTGTGGGAAACCATTCTGTTTCTTCATATTCTTCCTCACACTAACTGCTTGTCCAGCACATAGATTATGCGACGGAACAATTAATATTGTGACACACCCATTTCTTTTAGAACAATCATATTTTTTCATGAGCCACACAGTCTTCGCTGTAGTCTATAAAGCATGGACTGATCTTCTGAAATTCTTTGGTACACTTCAATAGTCACTGTATATTTGCAATATGAACTTGAGTGGCTCTTCATTTTCAGAATCCAGTTTGATCATCTGGCATTTCTTGCTCCATATATGGTAAAAATCTTTGTTGCAACACCTTGAGCATCACTTTGCTTCCTGATAGCATTACTCTGGGCTTCCCTGACATACTCAAACTACCTCACCATGTTAAGGCGTGCACCCAAGAAAAGGGACATGACATTAGAATTTTGCAATGTTAACAAGCATTTAACAGCTTAAATTACAAATAATATGTCTACAGTTGAGATTGCTAAAACTACGTACCTGATAAATCTGTATCTGTTGCTTTTCCATCTAAGAAGACTGAAAATCTCTCACAGTCTAATTTTCGTCTATTTATTTTTTTGTACTCCACTTTTTTACTTCTGCATTGAAGACAGAACAATATAGCTAGAACGACATGATTAACAATGAGAACCAACCTATGCCAAACTAAGAACCAACTGCTACTGATGTCAATGAGCTTGATTTCCAGATTAAAAGGGTACAGAATTGCAGGTTATCCCTTTTAGGTATATTATGAGTATTTGCACCTCTTGGTGTAGTGGTTAAACTGCAGTATTGCAGTGAAAACTCTACTCATGACCTGAATTCGATCCTGAGCTCAGGTAGCTGGCTCAAGGCTGACTCAGCCTTCTGTCCTTCCAAAATCGGTAAATTGAGTACCCAGCTCACATGGGGTGGTGGTGGTAATGTGTGCCTGCGTAATTAAATTGTAAACTGCCCAGAGAGAACTTTAAGCACTAATATAAACAGCACACTTTGCTTTTCTGTTTGTATCTTCAGTTCACAATATTAATACCCTTTTGTTTTATGTTTAGAGCTTAGTTACAGTAGTTTATGTACTAACCTACTGGAAGAACAGGAACACATTTGTTTACTCGATAACTGTATTTTCAGTCTAGGATGTATAATAATATTATGTTCTTTTGAAGAATTTCCCAGTCCTTCAAGAAAACGGTGATCTGTAGGACAAGATAAGTTTCCTGTGGAGGAAAATGATAAGGGGTAAAAGTTGATTACTCGATTACTTCCATTATAATTATTTCAAATGTTGATTCAAACACAAGCACCTCTTGATCTACCTTGGCCTTTTGAAAGAGTGAAACCTGCGGTATTGGATTCCGGGTTGTTGGTATTGCAGGGATTGACTGGAGGTGGAGATCTCATTTCCCAATAGCTTAAATTCCTGATGGAAGAAAGAGATGTGGCACAAGGTATGTCAAAAGAGATCCATAGTTATTCAGAGAGCATGACGATGTAACAACTTGATGTTGTTATCTGTTGATGATGTATTCCTCTACAGTTAGAGGGTTGAAGAGATCTCCTAAAAGCTAGTATTCTTATATATATCTAATAAGTATTAGGCTTCAAATCCCTGCTCAGCTATGGAAACTCACAGGAGATGTGAAACTGGAAGAAACACTCTAAATATCTCACCCATCTAGAAAACCCGATTAGGGTTGCTATATAGTGGGTTCTGACTTGATGGCACAGAATAACAATACAGAGCTCTAAGGACTACTGGGGCCAAAATGACTGTGAACAAACTGTTATTGTATAATGGAGACCATTATATGGAGATACTGTACTGACTTTGGTTACGTTTGCAGATAAGCAAAAATAATTTAGCAGTCGGAGTTTTGCAGGACCTTCGCCCAGCTTTCAGGTAGAAAAAGAGAAAGAGATTAATAGTCTGCAAAGCAGAAAGTGAATGTGCCCTCTCCCATACCTACACAATTTTTGTGTGTGTTCTGCACCATACATCAGAACCGGCTTATAGCAATCCTAATATGGCTTTCAAGGTAAGTGAGATATATAAGGAGTGATTTTACCAGTCCCATAGCCCCTGTCAGTTTCCATGGCTGGGTAGAAATTCGAACACAGGCCTCCTGAATCCTAGTCTGTCATTCTGTCTACTACACCACACTCACACTGGGTATCTCAATCTTAAGTTCCCTTGATATTAGCTGTTCATATAAAATACCTTTCCAATAAACATCAACAGATCTTAGTTATAAAATGTATAAAGAAAAAATGAAAAACATTGCCTTAATTTGTGTCATGTATAGTTCTATAAGTCACAATAAGACATTTCTATCATATCCTTCTTTAGCTGTCACTTTTCTAAACCAAAGAGCAGAAAACATTTAGCTTTTCATATTGGGAAGGTGTACCATGTTGTCTCCATTGGTTGCAGTTGATGGGTGTTTCTGTTTGATTTCTTTTTTTTGTTTGTTTTTGAACATTCCCTTCCTGAAACTGTACTTCTCCATTTGTCTAAATTTGAGTCAGTTTGACTTGTTTGATCTGAAGTGTGTACCTGTATTGTAAAACCTAGGTCAATTTCCTTACATCCAATGATCGGGACTAAGGGGATAGGTCAAAGAGGGAGGGAGGGACAGTGCCAAATGAACATACATAATCGGTTGTGGAATCACTGGTGCTGAAGCCTTACCCATCTCTGTCTTCTTGGTTACTGTTATTCTGAGCTAATGTCAGTGGCCTGTGGTACTCAAGCACTCCAGCCTTTTGATCTGGTGAAAACATACGGTGCTGCATTACAAAACAACACATTATTATCAAAGGGCTTCAGGATTTATACTGCCAACTTCTGAATTTTTCAGCATTAATTTAAGTCATTGTTGGAACAATTTGTCATAGGAGGGCTAATAAATTGTTGGGGATAAATAATAATATAGTGTGCAGAAAATCTAGCAGATTTATTTGGCTATAACAGAATTAGACATGAAGAGTCGGAGATGACTAAACAACTAAACAACAACAGAATTAATTTTTCTATAATATTCATTCAGTAAACTGCAGTAACTTCTGAGTTATGGAATCCAAGTTCAAGCAAGCTTCTGAACATTAACTGAAATATCAAATTAACTTACATGGATATATTGCTTATTTATTAGCAGCCCAGAATTTTCCAGAGGCTTCACTATTTTCTCATAGGCATTTTTGTTTTGTAGTTCAGGCTGGCTAAAGCAAAACAAAATGTGTGTCTTTAACAACAACTTTTTGGTGGATTATAACATGTAAACAATTTTAAAAGTTATAAATGTATCGAATAATTAAACCAGTGCTTCCCATCCTTTTTTGAGTTGCAACTCCCTTTTATAATACCCAAGTAACCTGCAACCCACCCACCAAGCATAAAATGCATAAAAAGGCATTTTTAATGGAGTAAATTCATATTCTCAGAAAGTAGACATTTCTCCCCCAAAGGACCTATTTTTATACGTAAACATATATGCTAATTTTAACATCCCACTCTGAAAGGTCAAGGAAGAAATTATTTGATAAGGGTTGCAACACATTTAAGGCAACACATGACCGCCCCAGAAAACACTCTTCGATACCCCTGGGGGTCCTGACCACCAGGTTGGGAAACACTGAAATAAATAATTGCCTATTTGCAAGTCTGAGGAAGCAGGAAGCTGGGCTGGAACAAAGAGAATAAAGTCACATTCATTGGCTGAAATTTGGTTACTTAGTGTAGTGAGTCACATTAGACTAGGCCCATTTGAATCAATGGAACTTATGAAGGAAATGACTCATTAAATCCCCATGATTCAGTACACATAATGTGACTTACTACGCTAAGCAACAGAATTTGAGCCTGTGTATTGTACTACTATATTTTTCAGTTTTCCATTTGATGTTTGTGAGGCTGTTTCAGCATTTACAGGTTCATCAAATATTGGTTTTATAATTAAAATTTTGCTATAATCTTTACTGAAGAGTCTAAGGTAAAGGTAAAGGTTCCCCTTGACAATTTTTGTCCAGTCGTGTTCGACTCTAGGGGGTGGTGCTCATCCCCGTTTTCAAGCCATAGAGCCAGCGTTTTGTCTGAAGACAATCTTCCGTGGTCACATGGCCACACAGAACGCTGTTACCTACCCACCAAGGTGGTCCCTATTAATCTACTCGCATTTGCATGCTTTCGAACCGCTAGGTTGGCGGGAGCTGGGACAAGTGACGGGCGCTCACTCCATCGCGTGGATTTGATCTTAAAGAACTGTACAAACAATTGTATCAGCCCAGAGAGATGGACTTCTGTTTCTTGAAAATCAAGTCCCATGATGTCAAATCACTTTGGAAAATAGAGTTTCATATGAACAATTTGATAGGGCAGGGAGATTGGTTGTTTTCTTAAAAAGTCCCATTATATGAGCCATAGTCACACAGAAAATAGTTGTATACCTCCTAACCAATGTGCTTAGGCTCTTAAGTCAGGGTCTAAATTGACAAAAATCAATGGGCTCAAGCACTCCACCTTTGGACAAAGCTTCTCTTTCAGTTTGCAATTGAGTGCTTGCCATAATATGCTGACATATCAGAGGGGAAATGAAGACCAGTGTTTATCTACCAGTGGATCTCACTGTCCATTGCTGGTTTAGAGAGCAAACACTATCCATAGCTTGACCATTCATGGAAAGGCACATGCAAGCCTATTTTTTGCTTTATACTGGCTAAACAATAGATCAGAAAATTGCCTAAACTGGGCCAATACCCAAAACATTACAACATCCTTTCTGCGGATGTCACAAGCTTAACACTTACTCCTGATGGACGGGATAACATAGGTCACCTTGGCTAGGTTGCTGATATACTCTCTGTGGGATCACCTCTATACAATGGCTTCTATTCTTCCCAGAATTCTCATTCTTAAAAACATTCACTCCCATGGAACTGTTTTGTGAAGACTCATTAATGCTTGAAATCATGGGACTCTATATGAAAGAATAAAATGAAGAATGAATAAGGCACCATATTAGATCAATATTGAGCATAGCTAAAGCACATCTTGAAGATTTATGCTTTTTTTCACACATCAAGGGAATCAAAGCTTATAAGCCCACTATTTCCATCTGCAAATCCAAAATGACATGATACAGCCAGCCAAAAAAAATCCAGTTTACAGTGAATTATACAAAGACAAAGCAGGGAGATACCTTTGTTAGATCACTAATAATTCACACATGGAGGCTAGTTTTCAGCTCTGCTTGAGTCTTCATCAGGTGGAGCATTACAGATCTGGGGTTGGTAAAGGGGAAAAACACCCTCCAAATCCCTGGTCAGATGTGCAGGCCAGGCTCCTTATTTAAATCATATTCCAAAATGGGGGCTGCAAAATCTGCTCAGAGATAGTGGTTGCCAGATTTCACCTCTGGTGATGTGGATTGGAACATATATTGGAATCTATATATGGGGACTTGCCTGTTTTTATAAAAGGTTTCAACTGCAGTGACTCATTAAACTAAATTACGAGGGGTTCGTTGTTTACCTCAGAACAGCGTGAATAGGGAGACGGCACAGATTCACAGGGTGTGAAAGAAGACAAGGTTGCAAAAGTTGAGGATGGAGGATTGCATGTCTCATCGATTTTCTCTTTAATATCTTCAAGAAGCATCTCAAGCTTAAATATTTCTCCTTCAACTTTTCTAAATCCAATTACAAGAAACAGTATTACATATCATATGCAATGCGTGCTTTTTCTTCCCTTTGTCATAATACTAAGGATACAAAAGGATTTGAAATTTTAGATAGGGGCTAGCCATGGATTTAACTGGGGTGACACCTCTCCTGCTTGGTTCAAGAGCTGCCACTGATTTACCACACATCGTGAAGCAACTTTGTTGCTTGTTAACATTGGAAGTAGTTGTTTCTATGAAGAGAAATGGGAAAGGGTTCACCAACCCTTCCCATATCCACTGGTTCCCCTCCCAAAATGTGCACACTGACAGGTCACCATACTCCTTGCCTGAATCCGGGAAGCAATTGCTGGACAGAACTAGTGAAGACCAAAGGCAAACATATATTTCTTGCCATATGCCTCAGTGGTAGAACTAAACAAATAATATCACCCATCAATTCTGCCTTCCCTGCAAATATCAGGTCGATAATGTGAATGGAAGTGGATACTGGCCCATTAACTGGGGAGGGTGTAATAGAATTTATATTTTAAATTCTGTGGCGGTCTAAGAGTTAACATGGCATAGAGGTTACAGTTCGATGAAGACTCATGAAATGTGGACTTTCATCTCCATTTGTTGGTGGGAGCTATCCTGTGACCTTGAGCCAACCACACATTCTCAACCTGACCTGTCTCACGGGTTCACTGTGAGGACAGAGAAGATAAAAGCCATGTGTGTCATCTTCAGTTTGTTAGAAGAAACTTGGGATACAACTGTGATACAGTAGGACCCCATTATCTGCGGGATCAGTATCTGCTGATTCACTTATCCATGTTCTGAAAATATTAAAAGAAAAATTCTAGTTATATACAGTGGACCCTTGACTTACAGACTTTTTGAGTTACAGACTTCTCTGGCCGCAAAATTTAGGTTTGACTTGCAGCCTGAGAATTGACTTACAGACCAGAAAAAAAACAAAATGGAACAAAAACGGCCTGTTACGGGATTAATCGGTTTTCAATGCACTGTAGGTCAATGGAGACTTGACTTACAGACTTTTTGACTTGAGAACTGCCTTCCAATACGGATTAAGTTCTCAAGTCAAGACCCCACTGTATGTCTTTAAAGATGAAATTACTAGAACTGGCCACTAGAGGGAGCCAGAGACCATGCTATGTATAGTGTTCACTAGAGAAACATATTTCCATTATGTTATTACCAGAACTGGCCACTAGATATTATGTATTGCATTCTCTATTAAAATACTTTAGTGCTTGCTATAATCTGCAGTTTCCAGCATCCATGGGGGGCAGCTTGGAACTGATCCTCCATGGGTATGGGGGTCCTACTGTATTCTTTTTACTAAGCAGTTTTTTCACTTTTAATGTTTAAAAATATCTCAATAACTCAGCAGAGCATCCACCAGCAATATAACTATGATGTGATTTGGAAATTGAACGGTTAATGCTCATAGAAAGATGTTGTATAATGACTTTGCACTGCTATTTGGGCATGGTACTGAAAACCAGTGGCTACTCCAGGAGCCATTTTTAACTTCCACATAAAGCTCTTCCAATGGCCCACCATTAAACAGGATCTTCTTAGAGACATTAAGATGCCATTTCCACAGCTGCCCATGGCCATGTTTTTATTCTGTTGCAAAAGGCAGGGTGGTCATGGACAGAAGTGTAATGCATTTATAAGTATTACCACCTTCACCAGTTTCCTCACCCCAAGATCTCCCACTTCTCAGTTTTTGCTAACATTTTTACTTCAAAAGTGAAGAAACCCATGGGCTTTCAAAATTACAGATCAGGCTATCCAGTGCGTTTCTGCACAGAAGGCTTCAATCCGACACCCATGTATATGAAAGAACAGCTCTGGGGAAAGTTGCTTTTTATATACTCCAGAAGCTCCCAGCAAGTTATAGCCAATGGTTGAGAGATTCTGGACCCTGTTGTCCAACATTTCTCACCATTACTTAATAATTTTATTAATTAATTGTTATAAATTTTTCTTGAACTTGTTATGTTTTATGTTGTAAGCCACCTAGAGTGGTCGAAATGACTGGATAGGCGAGGTATAAATACAATTAACAACAACAACAACAACAACAACAACAACAACAACAACAACAATAATTACCACCACTTTTTAAGTTCTGGAGGAGTAACTACGCTAAGAAGAACTCATTGCTTAATGTAGACATAGGATATCAGTATTAAAGATGTTGTAGGGATACACTTTTAAAATGGCTATACTATTTTTAAAAATAGGTATAGTAAAAAAAATCTTGACCTTTCAGGATCAAATGCTACAATGTTTTTTGGTGAATACTTGTAATTTTGGAGTTGTAAACAACAGTGCTTCTCCTTTGTTGCGAAGTAATTCTGCTCCAGTTGACTGAGTTGTTCTTTTAAAAGCCTCAAAAGCTGTACAAATCAAATGTAACAAAATATATTACTTTCTCATAGTTTGGCAATTTTACTCTGCATATGTAACATCCAGGGCTGCCTCTTAAACATGTTCTGGCAATTGGTCCAAAAGAAATTAGACAATGTAAACACAATGCTAAGAGCCAAATTAGATTACATTAACCTTTTTAAACTGAGCCTGTTTTAGATGTCGCCAAGGCAAAGACAGCAATGACAAGTGACAGATGAAACTTGCTCCTTAATGTCAGTTATAATTTTTGGTATCTGTTTCAGAGGATAAATGAATGCCTACATTGTGGAAACGCTGCCCTTGAATATTATCCTTCTGCCCAGCCTTAAGTTAATGGGTACTTCTATGTACAGATGAAATTCCTGCCTATGTGGAGTGCCCTATGCACTTCATCAGGAAGAAAAGCAGGCGGGAGCATCATACTAACACGTGTGCATGTGGAAGCGTCCACGCTCCTGAAGTGAACAAGGTGGGAACTAGGGACATGTGAGCTTTGTGTGTTTACTGATACTTTCACATCTACAGCATCACACTTGATTGGGGTGCAGGTTTAAATGAATCCCAACATTTCCCATTCAGGGAAATCTTTGTTTAACTTTGGAGGCAACATATTCAAATTATAGTTGTCTTTACATTTATATGTGTACTCACAAAACTACTTTGTGAAATCAGAAATAAGAGAGGATTTCCTCACATTACATCTGGTATGAAGAAAATTACTTATTATTGGATCTGGTGCCATCATTCCACTGACAGGAGTACTTTCACCAGTAGAACTGGGAGAACAGGAATCTTGCCCCCTTCCCAATGCCCTCCTGTGTCATCCAAATCTCCTACAGATTGCTACTGGCTGTGGGAACAGAAAGAGGATATGCCTTTCTGCACCCACTGACCTCTTTTAGTGCAACGTTGGCTTTAACATATAGGGCTGTATCGAGCTAACTTAAATCCCATCAATCAGCTAAATCATGGCTAGTTTGAAGTCCATTAACTTCAAGGGCTCTCGTCCTTCCTGTTCAGTGAGATTTACAAATTCTGTACCTAAGTGAATTCAACTACAGTACTTTGATCTAGAGTCAACACAATATACAGTACCTAATGTTGGCTTTTCTTTTTTAACATACTGAACTCTATTAACAAAAACAAACAAACAAACAAACCAAGAGAGAGAAAACAAAACAGATTTCTGCAACAATTCATAAAAAACAAAAGACTTTCAGCTGACGTTAAATACAATACAGACTCTTGCTTCCTTATTCCAAGCATTCATTCACCTGATGGCATTCTTGTGCAGGTAATACATCTTGTGCCACGCATTTAGAAAAGGTTTCCACCTTTAAGAAAAAGAAATGTACATCATTTTAGCTTTGGGAAGTGACATTTATAAAAAGAAAGGCAGGAATCAAATATTTGAAATAGAAGAAGAATTTCACATTACTTTAGTTTTCAACTCTTGTGTCTGTTCCTTTAAGATCTGAGAAAGTGTTTCTTCTTCTGCTACTTTTTGCCATGTAGGGGGATTCACAGATGCTTGAGCTGCTCCATCATCTAAGGGGGAGGTTGAGGTCATTCTTCCAGATTGTGGTTCTACAAAACAACATTTTTAAAAGGAAGGGAGCATGGTTTTGAAACTCGTTCTCTCAGCAGTGGATGATCTGCACGCTACTTTCTTAATTAGAAAACAAAATGAAGACTGCATTCATAAATCTGTGAAACAAAAGCAGTATTATTCTAGTTATTTTGCTAACCCATTTGAACTACCTGGAAGAGGTGACTGGGAGAAATTAAACATGGGCTTCACAGGGACAGTTACAGGCAGAACGGTAGACCATTCAGAGGTTCTTTCAGTACCTTGTCCTTTAACGCCAGGGGTTGTCTATGAGAATTTGAACAGGGAAAACATACGTTAAAATATACAAAAGCTCAATGTATAGTACAAAATCAACAACCAAAATCGAAATATACTTTTGCCTCTTTCTTCCCGATACCCTCAGCACCCCCTCCCTACATTCAGCACTCAGAAAAAATAGCATGCACACATTAAACAAACAATATTCAAATGTGAATGATTTAGTTAAAATATTTAAATACAATATGCTTTAATGCAACTTCCAGTTCAGCTTCCAACTGAAAACATTCAAAAAAGTATAATAAATATACAACAGATATATAATACAGTTGTAGATCATATATAAATATAATAATGAACAAGTATGTAATAAACATATAATACACAACCTGTTAAAAGAGAGGATTTTAAAAGATGGGGGAATATCCTTGCCTTGTAGTGAAATTGTTGAAGAATATTGCACACATGGGCACAGGAGCAATTTTAATATTTGGATTCAGCCCTTTGAAACCTGGAATTATTACCTGAGCAAAATTTATACAGCTTATGTGTCTTAGACAAGTACAATTGTGATAGGAAAGGGGCCAGAAGTCCTAGTTCTAGCTAGTTAAGTCAAAGATGTCAAGAACCGTGGCTGCCACTTTTATTTCTAAAGAAAAGACAGAATTCTCCTCTCTGAAGGATAAGAGAAAGGTGTGAGAAGAAAGCAAGGGACATCAGTAACTTTAAGCATAGCAATCTAAAGCTGAGGGAAGGCACAGCACAAGGGAGAAGCAGAAAAAGAACAGTCTAGGAAACCTGACGTGGTCCTCTTCCTACTCTTCCCTATGTAGATACATACATTTTCTAGAATATAAGCTGAGTTGCACCTGGTCAATTCCAAAACAAATGAATTATCACTAAGAATGTGATGACACAGTCAGAGAAACATAAATTCACTCACTGTGAAGCTGCATCGGGGAATTTGGGTTAACTGGCCACACGGGAAGAGGAATAAATTGGATAAACAGCCTTATTTGCAGATTGTTAAGGTAGCTCTCCCATTGCCCTGCAGAAGGAGCAGCTGCAGAACTACTTTATAAGCTGTAAACTAGGGCAGAGTGGCAATTTCCTCCTCTTGCGGACTAAGCAAACAGAGGCCTGTGCTCAGTTTAAAGAAAAAGCAAAACCACTGTGGAGCGATTTTAAGAATTCTCTTTTAGTATGGTTGAGACAAACTTTGTCAGATAAAAGCTGGTGAAACAGCCAACCCAATCCCATAGTGTTTCCTTAATTTGTTGCCAATATGTTAGAACCCTAAGCCACAAAGAAGGCAATTCTCTTGCCAGTCACTAGCTACCTTACTTTCAATGAGAAGGATGTTGCAGCATTATCATTTGATATAAGAACCAGGATTCTCCTCCCAGAATTTAAACGGCTTAAAGTTAAACAGTTTGAATTTTGCTTGAAATGGGCCAGAAGCCAGAGGAATCCGTTCAGAACTGGCAATGTAATTTCCCATCAACCTCTTTTAATCAACAGCCTTTCAAAACAGTTTTCAGGAAATGAGATCCCACATACAATACATTACACTATCAATCTTACATGATCCCAGAATAAGGATGAAGGAGTACTCCCAAAGTATCTAAGGATTTTTGTTTGTTTGTTTGTTCCATTTTTACCCCGCCCATCTAGATTCAGGAATCTACTCTGGCCGGCTTACAGAATATAAAGATAAAAACAGCATTTAAATAACTTTGTTCATAAAAGCAATAAAGATCAATAAAGAAAACAGGATCCAAGATGGGATAAGGAAGCTATGTAATGGGGGGGAGGTCTGCTGTTAATGGGGGGGGGGGGGGAAGAGTGCCAGTCGGATCTCCGGGGTTAAGGCGTCCCAAAGATGAGGTTGTTTGTTTAAAAACAGTAAGAATACAACTACTAAAAAGGATCAAACAGACACCACACCAAAAGACAGTAAACAAAAGCAACACCAAAACACCTTCAAAACATTAAGGCACAATCATCCATTTTAACCCCCCACTCAGGCAGGCAGTCATTAAGGAAAACCTTGCCTGAAGAGAAAAGTCTTTGCCAGCTTGTGGAAGGACAGCAAAGATGGGAGCAGACTGGCTCCCCATTTGAAGGGAGTTCCAAGGTCTGGGAGCAACAACAGAGAAGGCCCTCTCCTGTGTACCCACCAAAGGTGGCATGGACTGAGAGAAAGGCCTCTCTTGAGGATCTTAACACCCAAGCAGGCTCGTAAGGGGAGACACAGTCCTTGAGGTAGCTTGGGCCCAAGATGTTTAGGACTTTATAGGCTAGAATGAGCACTTTGAAATGTCCCTGGAAACAGATCAGCAGCCACTAAACTGCTATGACAGGGAGGTTATGTACCCACCAAAGGTGGCATGGACTGAGAGAAAGGCCTCTCTTGAGGATCTTAACACCCAAGCAGGCTCGTAAGGGGAGACACAGTCCTTGAGGTAGCTTGGGCCCAAGATGTTTAGGACTTTATAGGCTAGAATGAGCACTTTGAAATGTCCCTGGAAACAGATCAGCAGCCACTAAACTGCTATGACAGGGAGGTTACATGATCCCTCAGACTAGAATGAGGACTTTGAAATGTGCCTGGAAATGTGCCACTAAACTGCTATGACAGGGAGGTTACATGATCCCTGTGTCCAGCCCCAATTAACAATCTGGCTGCCTCATTTTGGACCCACAGAAGTTTCTGCACATTTTTCCAGAGATAGCTCCACATAGAGCGGATTATAGTAATCCAGACAGGATGTAACTAGGGTGTGTGTCACCATGGCCAAATCAGAACTCTCCAGGAATGAGTGCAGCTGGCACACTAGTTTTAATTGTGCGAATGCACTCTTAGCCACCATTGAAACCTAGGCATCTAGGCTCAAAGATGAATCCAAGAGCATCCCTAGGTTGCATGCTTATGCTTTCAGAGGGAGCGCAACCCCATCCAGCACAGGCTGCATCCCTGTTCCTCGATCTCTTAGAAGATGACAACACACCCAGCAAGTTCAATATCATCTTTCAGAACAGATGAGGTACAGATACTTTAAACTGGGGCTCTCCTGGACACCAATCATGGAAAGAGAGAGAGGATCCTTATATAAATCATAGCAACTCTGCCCCCTGGCCCTCAAGTATATGTTGATGTTGCACCATTTAAGGAGGGGAGCAGAACTGTGTGTGTGTGGGGGGGAAACAGACTGCATCTTCCAGTTTGTTCATCCAGCTCAGCTAAATTCTCTCACCCACAATTAAATCATGGACAACAGCTGACATACAATGGGCGGACTTAGCCAGGAAAATCATGGGAGTGTGTGTGAAATGTTCATAGATGGCTACAAAGGGAAGCTACAGCTTTTAAACTATTGCAAGTTATAATTTACAAATCCTAACTTTTTCAAGTGTCCTTGCTTTAAAAGGAGGGTGTGTACTAGATTCATATTAAACAAAATATTAGAGCAGAGACATTAATAAACAGATCTACTGCTTACACAATTCATACTTTTTGTTCAGAGAGAAAATATTTTGTATTAAAGGAGACAGCTGAAACATTACAGCTGATTCCACATTATAGGAAACTTACCTTAGTGTTAAACCTTAGATTATCAATATGATTCTGAGCTTCTGCTTGTTTTGTCAGCATCTATTATTTCAACATAGATAAATTAGATAAACTGATGATTAGAGAAACTGATTTTTAAATTAATTTTAAATTATTAAATAACTCAGATAAATTAATAAAAGTACACTTTAAAAGCTAAAACAATCTCCTGCATGTAACATCTACTGCACAGCCTATGGCTGAGCTATTGCACCAGATATTCATTATGATGTTCTGGAAAAGTTTATATTCAACAGAAGAAAACCAAAGTAGTGCTGTGAAGAAAATAAAAGATAATTTGGCTAAGAAAAACTATAAAGGGACACTAAAGGAGAACTCTATAGGGATCTCATTGACATTTAGATGAAGTTTAAATGAAACAAAAATTTAAAGTAGGCCTTTGGCCCGTATTGGAAACCTAATTCCATACACATCACTGGCTTCTACAGATGGGAACAGTCAGAAGATTACACCACAATTTGGTTTTATGCAGCCAAGACTACCTCATATCTACCTCTAGCTGTTGGTCAAGTTCAACCATCCTCATTTCCTCTTCTTGATTCTTGGCTGCAAAAGATTCCAAAGAGTTCATTGCTTCTAGTACACCTTTCACAACTGCTGATTTACCAAGCAAATCTGGGGATGATTTAATTTTTTTAATTACAGGAGTTTGGTTGTTGATGTTATTTCTTTTCGGTATTTTCACCTTTGGAGGAACCTTAGAGAAATCAGGAAGCCGGTAGTGTACCTGACGTTGAACATGTCTGTGATCAGGACAGGATCCAGTTGTCTCCATAAAAAACTTTTGGTTTTGGTCTTCTTCTTTTGAGGTTGAGATAAAATTTAACTCTTCATTAATTGTGTGTTCCTCCTGAGTTATAAATTCTGGATTATATTCTTCACAGCCTTTTCTTTCACCACCGAGGTTAGGGGTCTTATTCATTACTTTGACTTGGATTGAATCCCAGTTTTTGTCAATCGGTTGACATGTTAATTCTTGTTCAAAGTTATTTTTTTCTTCTGCCACCAGTGAAGATATCCTTGTCCTTTCTGAAATCTTTGTATTATTTACAATAGTTTCATCAAAACTTTCAGTAAATGATATTTCTGGGATAGTCTCAGAATCAATTAATTGGCATGAGTGGGATAATCCCTCTTGGGGGAAATGGCGTAAAAGAACATCTGGAATTTTTGACTTAGAGGTATGTTGATTTCTTCCAGAATGGACAAAGTTCCAAACTTCTTTCTCTGTGGTTGGGGGACATTTGGTGTCATTCTTGCTCAGCAACATTGCCAAATTTTTCTCCCTCAAAGGCAGCTGAGTTTTGCAGTCTGCACTTTCTTTTGAATAGACGGGAAGATGGGAAGATGTCAAAGTGAAAGCTCTCTGAGAGGCATTTTCTGTAGAAAGGAAATCTTGCAGGTTTTGTGAATCACAGATGTGTTGATAACTACTCTGCATGTCCCCATCATAAGGCAAGTCTTCTTGTTCATCATCAGTATTGTCCTCAGGGCAAAGCATATCAAATAAGATTCTATTCACTGCTACTGTCCTTATCTGCAATACCTATTCATATACTGTACTCATATTCCACATGATTTTCCTGACTGATTGCCACCTTTTCACATTCTGTAAGAATTGAGAGAACATACACCTTTTAATACATCTGAACTATGGATAAGAACAGTTAATCTTCCTCCCCACTCCATAAAATGTGCAGTGACCTATTACGCACATCCATGCAAATATGCACCAAAAAGTCCTGTTGGGTGTGTTAAGTATCTAGCTTGCAGAAACAGAAATTACACTCAGTGATAGCTGCAATGTAAGAGTTAAGGAAAATATTACAGTAGGACCCCTGTGTTTGTGGGTGAATTGGTTCCAAGCCCCTCCGTGGATGCTGAAAACTGTGAATAATTGTTGTTGTTTAGTTGTTTAGTCGTGTCCGACTCTTCGTGACCCCATGGACCAGAGCACACCAGGCCCTCCTGTCTTCCACTGCCTCCCGGAGTTGGGTCAAATTCATGTTGGTAGCTTCGGTGCACTGTCCAACCATCTCATCCTCTGTCGTCGCCTTCTCTTTCCTTCACACTTTCCTAACATCAGGGAAATGTATAGTGAATGCTATACATGTCATAGTAAAAAAATGTGACTCAAAAATTAAAGGAGCAAACATTTAATAAATTAAAAAGTGATATCAAAGATAAATTGCAGGAGTATTCTAAATTGAAATGATCAAGGTTTGGGAGAATCACTATGATCAAAATGAAAATATTGCCAAGAAAAACATTTTTTATTTAGGATGCTCCCAATACAATTAGAAAAAGAGGATTTTAAGTACAGTATTGGCAGGGACTAATTAATGGATGCTGTAATCAAGGTAAAAAATCAAGAATAAATAAAATATATTAGTACAAGAGTCAAAAAAATTGAAGTTTAGGTATTCCTAATATTAAAAATTATAATATAGCAAATCAATTAAGGTTTATTGGAGATATTATATATGATGAAGGAAGATTAATTTGGTGGAATATGGAATCCTTAGAAATATATGGGAATATTGAAAAATATTTGTTTAATGTGGTAAAAAGAAATATAATAAATCAGGTGAACAAACCCCTTTTAAGAAACATGTTAAATGTCTGGAACAGATATAAAAAGACGTTTTGTCCCTTTACTTCTCCACTAAAATTAGTGACTGAAATAGAAAATTTTGCAGCAAACTTGAAGGGCTTTGTTGATTTGTTTAAGGATAAAAAAGTTGCTAGATTGAAGGACTGGATGATTAAAATGAGATTGAAAGATCAGATTTAAAGATCAGATTTAAACGTCAGACTATAGCATAATAAAATGTTAATGATGTTTATGGGAAAACCTACATACTGTATGAAGGCCCTTTGTTCACCAGTATCTGTTGATTTTAACATGGTGGACATTCATGTGATTATTGCTCCACTATTAAGACACAGAAGTAGATGAACAGCAATTCATTTCTTTTATCAAAACAGAGTTAGTTCCATTTCTTTACATAGTGTATTTTTTCATTATGCATGAATGAATGAATGAATGAATGACCTACATACTGTATGAAGGCCCTTTGTTCACCAGTATCTGTTGATTTTAACATGGTGGACATTCATGTGATTATTGCTCCACTATTAAGACACAGAAGTAGATGAACAGCAATTCATTTCTTTTATCAAAACAGAGTTAGTTCCATTTCTTTACATAGTGTATTTTTTCATTATGCATGAATGAATGAATGAATGAATGAATGAATGAAAGCAAAGCAAAGCATGCTCCTTATATACCGCCCCATAGCTCTTCAAGCACTCTCTGGGTGGTTTACCAGTAAATTATGCAGGCTACACATTGCCCCCCCCTCCAAAGCTGGGTACTCATTTGACCGACCTCGGAAGGATAGAAGGCTGAGTCAACCTTGAGCCGGCTACTTGGGAATTGTTTTGGCTGCAGTACAGCAGTTTAACCACTATGCCACAAGGCTTTTATGATGCAACACAATATTGGCTTTATCTTGACTGAAAAGCGTGCCTAAGTGAAATGTTCACACTGTAATCCAGAAAGATTAATTCATATGTTCCTGTATACTGCAAACAGATTATAGGGAGTTAGGAAATGTACATGGATGTGCACATCTGTGCACATATCCACATGCACACACACATTTTAGATGTTCTGAATATATTTCCAAATTCAGGAGCTAATCATTCTTTTAACTGTGTTATTATTTATTATTTATTTTGCCCGAACCAAGGGCTTGAACCTTAATTGTGTTCCTTGAAATCCTTTTTGCAGGGTTTTTTTTTGGGGGGGGGGTATCTATGTGTGCTGCTATTGAGTAATTTGGGATAGGGTAAAAGACAATTGTGGGCTGGGGGAGGAATTGGAAATCATTACTCCCTATAATTTCCTCGAGTTATCATAACCATAAGGGACATGGTGGTGCTGTGGGTTAAACCGCAGAAGCCTCTGTGCTGCAAGGTCAGAAGACCAGCAGTTGCAAGATGGAATCCACGTGACGGAGTGAGTTCCCATCACTTGTCCCAGCTCCTGCCAACCTAGCAGTTCAAAAGCATGTAAATGGGAATAGATAAATAGGTCCCACCACAGTGGGAAGGTAACGGCATTCCATGTCTAGTTGTGCTGGCCACGTGACCATGGAAACTGTCTTTGGACAAACGCTGGCTCTATGGCTTAGAGATGGGGATGAGCACTGTGCCCTAGAGTCGGACAAGGCTGGACTATATGTCAAGGAGAACCTTTACCTTACCATATTTTAGGCTCCAGATCATACTTTGGGTGACTTCTCTGCCAACTCCATAACATTCTACATTGCTGAGGAAGCCCCCCTTCTCAATTCTCCACAGAGGTTTAGGAGGGCGCAGCTGACTGTAGAGGAGATATGAAGACAGTCCAAAAATATCCTTTGAAGGGCATACTATATGACGGATAGCTTTTATTCTTAATAAGAAGTCATTATGGCTGAAATCCAGCTCTCAGTTTCCTGGGCTGTGGGAAGTTAAGTTTGCAAACCTCAGCACTTTGATATAACTAAGAACTAGTTTCAATTAAGTGGAATTTAGATCCAAGCAGACATTACTAAAATGATGTTGCAACCCTAAATACATGTGCCTTGAAGGAAGCATAATTAAACTCAACAGAGGTTATTTCTGAGTAAACATGCATAGGTTTGCACTTTTATTTTATATAAACTTGCCAATAACATTTCCTATTTGTTATATATATTTACGTCCATTGATTTTACTTAGCTAGCAAACACGCACAACTACATTGCTAAAGGCTGAGCTGGTTGTTATGCCTTGCTACACACCCTCTGACAACTGGGGTGTAAACAACAGGAAAAAGAACTTTAAATATTACATCCCAAATCTTTTTTTCAAAACACATTTTTACACATTAATCTTCCTTTCAATACATACATGCTGCTCAGTGAAAATGTAGTTGTATTTCAGCACAGAAACCAACAGCAGAAATAACACATATTCAGGAAAACAGAAATAGTTGAACTAACAATGTTCCTTTATACTTACACAGGCAAATGTGTGGCTGATTTCCTAGGCAACCAGTACAGTTACAGTCACTGAGCTAAAAATTCTTACACAAGTTTCTGTTGTCCACTATCAAACTGCACAGACTCTAAAACAAGGTACAAGGGTTCTGTTTCACAGCAGATATATTTCATTACATCAACTGTAATCCTACACCGAATCCAGCAATACAAGAGAAGCAAAGTATATCCTCCCAACTGCAACCACACACTGCTCTTTATTATTCCAGCATGGTGCTGCTATTGTTCAGTAGGATCACAAGGGGAGTATACAGCAACACACCAACCTTTTCCAAACCTTAATGGGAAAGTCAAACTGAACCTTATCTCATTGTTTCTACTGTGACCTATATAGAAGTATTTAAAATAGCACCTTGGTTTTATGAATGTGTGGTGCCTTTCCTGTCAGAAACATTATCATTCCATCTACACTAGGGGAACATTTAATTATTTATCTGGGAAGGTCCGTGGAAGTTAATTATTTACTGTTATCACACTCACCACCTGGGATGGCTCAAGAGGAAGCATTTGCATTTTGGAACCTTTATGAATTATCGAGGCTCACAAGTTCTAGCAGCATTTGTTCGGTTAAGACAGCTGCAGACCAATGCGGTCAATAAGTATTCCTGTCACCATACATGAAGCATAGCCATAGTAGATGGACATTTATAAATTACTAAGGTCGTGGCACATACAAAAATTGTATAAATGGCTGTCTACTGAAGTTACAATCCACACAAGCAAAAATAAGGGGCTATTGTTCATGAGGTTTACTTAAAATAAAACTTGTGTGTCTTTTAAATCGCCACAAGAGTCTGGTGTTTTTGCTGCAGTAGACTAGCAATAAAAGCGCTGGAAATGTATGCATACAGAAACTCAGCTTCTATCAACTTGTGGTAATCACGGTAATCTAGCCAGAAAAATTCATGAATGCCCAATGAAGAAACATGGACTGCTAGCAATATGCCCTTCTGCACCCATGGAGGTGTGAGCAGAGGCTTGTCCTATAACATCCCACAAAAATCAATCATAGCAGAAAAAGAATACTCCTCCTCATTTGACTATGAATGGAAGAATATTTTTGTGTCTGCTTCTTCATGTGCCATCAAGTTAATTCTGATTTACGGTGATCCTGGATAGAGAATACTCAAAAGGGTTTACCATTCCCTTCTTCTGGGGACTGTGCAGCTTGCCCAAGGCCGCACAGGCTCGATTTACTTGCAGGAGACACAGTGGGGAATCAAACTTCCAACCTCAGGCTCTGCAGCTAGGTACCTAAACCACCGAGCTGTTCAGTTAGCTTGTGTGTACTTAAACTCTTGTAAAATATTACTATGGTGTGATGGGCTTCACGTTGGGCCTAAGTAGATCTGAGGTAAAAAAGATTGACTCTACAATCTGCAGATCAGCAAAGTATTGCCCTGGAATTGCACATGGCTCCCAATGCTGCTTCTATGGCCCATGGGCCGCTGCTGGCCTCCTCTTTGCCTGACAAATAAAATCGGTTGCAGATCCTGGACAACTCCAGGAGCAATACTTC